CTGCTCTGCCCCACACACCCACCCCAAACACCCCCTGCTCTGCCCCAAACACCCATCCCAAACAACCCCTGGTCTGCCCCACACACCAACCCCAAACACACCCTGCTTTGCCCCACACACTCACCCCAAACATTCCCTGCTCTGCCCCAAACACCCCCTGCTCTGCCCCAAACACCCCCTGCTCTGCCCCACACACCCACCCCAGAGCATCTCCTGCCTTGCCCCCCACACAGCCCCTTGCTCAGCCCCACAGCACAGCTCGAGGACTGCCACCCCCCAACCCCCCCAGCAGGAACTGGGCAATCCCAGGCATTGCAAAAGGTGGAAATCCCGCTCTGACGGTGTTTCCTTCCAGTGGCTCTTGAAAACCCGCCGCACCGAGACTGAACTCAGACAGCAGCTGAGCCACCCTGCCAGCAGGACAGGCAGTATAGACATCGCAGCAGCACTCCACTAGAACCAGCAGACATGGCTTACGTTCCTGATTTGGACATGCTGGAGAGCAGCAGGTAAGTGTGCCTGGGGGGGGACGCTGGGACATGATGCCACTCTGGTGCCGTGGTGACCTTGGCTTCACCATCTCCCTGTTCCTTGCAGCCTCAATGAGGAGACATTTTATGGCCCAGACTGCCTCTGCCCACAGAAGGTAACGCCAAATTGGTGGGAGTGGCCCTGGGAGACCCGTGATGGGGAAGCTGGGCTCTCAACTCAGGACCCCTTCCCTCCCCAGAAACCCTGCCTGGATTCAGAGGTGACATCGCCCGCGGTGGGTATCCAGGTGACAGTGACCAAGGGACGCCCCACCTGCACCTTTCGCCAGGCCGCTGTCCTCGTGGTGGCCACAGCCAAGCTCCTGAAGCAGCCAGTGTGCAAGGACTTAGCTGACAGCGACCTTGGGGGCTTCCTGGATGGGGTATTCGGTATGGAGGGTGTCACCCCAGCCAGGGGACGCTCTTGGGGAGCTGCTCTGGGTGCAGCAGTGTATCCCTAACTGTCCCTCTCCCCACAGAGCCGATCTCCTTCCAGCAGATGGAGAGCAGCTACACTGGGGCGCCCGTCTACCGCTACACCCGCTCGCAGTCCTTTGACATCCTCGACATCGATCACAAGTGCTTTGTGTTGGAATCGCCCACCCAGCTGGTGGCCCTGCACCTGCAGGGACCCTCAGCCAGGCGGAAAGGTGAGGGAAAGTGGTCCCCACCCCAAGCCCAGGACAGTGCCACAGCTCTTGGACCACCCCTTAGTCCCATCTCTTCTCTCTGCAGTGAAGCTCAACATTGCTCTGTACCGTCCCCAGGCATCACAGGGTGGCCCAGGCACTGGGCGGGTGCCAGTGGCCTTGGGCATCAAGGGCTACCAACTCTACATGTCATGTGTGATGAGTGGTGCTGGACCCATGCTGCAGCTGGAGGTGAGCAGGGGTCCCATTTCTGGGGGACCACGGGCTCCATTCCACCCTCAGCCCCTTCAGGGGATGACCCCAGGTCCATCCTGGGGAACTAGGGGCTCTGTCCCACCCCCAAGCCTCCTCAGGGGATCACCCCAGGTCCATCCTGAGGAACTGGGGGCTCCATCCCACCCTTTACCCCCTTTTCCCCCCTCGGTTTCAGGAAGCTGACATCAGGAGGGACATTGAGAGTGTGGAGATGACCCGCTTCATCTTCTACCGCCTGGACAGCCCTGCTGAGGGCACCACACGCTTTGAGTCGGCCGCCTTCCCTGGTTGGTTCATCTGCACCTCCCTGCAACCACGCCAGCCCGTGGGCATCACCAACCATCCCGACCAGGTCAACATTGCCACCTACGAGCTGAGTGGGCGCTGAGGTCACCCAGGGCTCTGTGCCCACCACCCACCCCACCGACAGTTGTTGGTTTGCTGTTGTATGTACCAAGTACAGAACCCCTGGACCCCCCATCTATTTCAGGTGAAATAGCAGCCCTGGGCCCTGTGGGCCAAATTACCCCTATTTTATCTATTATTGTATTTATTGTACCCACCCCTTGCTTTTGTACTAATTTATTATGCTCACCCCTTGCTTTTATACTTATTTATTGTGTGCAACCCTCAGATTTAATTTATATTTGATTGGAAATGTTGTGGGTTTGTGACTAGGGTGATTTGTTTGGGACAGAGGGGAATAAAAGTTCTCCCAGGACATGTGGCTCAGCTCATTGCTCTCATGGGGGCTGGGGGACGGACAGAGCTATGGGTGGAAAATTAGGTGTTTCAGGGCTTGGGGTGGCTCTGGGTGCAAAGCTCAGGGGGTTAGGGGTCCCCCTGACCTACAGACCCCATCCCATCCCCATAGCTACCCTGCAACTGGGGACATCCCATGGGTGGGGTCATTGCAGCCACCCAGGGCCACCACTGCCCTGGCCACTGCCACCAGCTACTGCCTAACCATGCTGTGGTGGGCCATAGCACAGCGTGACATCGTGTGGCACAGCGTGACATGGCCTGGCTTGGTGCGGAGTGGCGTGACACAGCCTGGTGTGCTGCTGGGTGGTCTGGTGTGACATGGCATCGTGTAGCGTGGCGTGGCGCAATGTTGTTTGGTGTCGTGTGGCGTGGTCTGGCACCCATGGTGCTGTGTGGCATGACATGGTGCGGCATGGGCTGGTGTGATGATGTGGCCTGGTGTGTTGCGACACGACATGGCACAGCATGCTGTGCTGTGGCGTGGGGTGGCATGGACCTGGCTTGTCCCGACATGGTGCGGCATAGCCATGGAGTAGCATGGCATGCACTGACATGGTATGGTGTGTCGATCCCAGCTGTGTCGAGCCCAGCCCAGCCGAACGGAGCCCGGCCCAACCCGGCCCAACCCGGCCCGGCCCAGCCCCGCACGCGAATTGACAGAGATCGCCTCTGACTGACTAGGAACCCAATGGCCCCGCTCACCTCCCCGCCC